AGGTGTGTCATATACGTCGCTAGACAAATGTGTAGTCAATTTTCAAAAATAAGAAAATATGGAATCGGATTAAGCGTGAAAGATAACAGACAGACAGACCGACAGACAAAGTTACTTTCGCAATTATATATTAGTATGGATTATGAAGAGGAAAGATTTTTTTGTTTGTTTGTACCCAATAAGCTTCGAAACTACTGAAATTTGGTAAGAAGATACTTTGAGACCCTTGGAAGGACATATGATAGTTTTTATCCCGGAAATAAACACTTAAAGGGGTGAAAATTGGGATGAAAGTTTGTATGGGGAACAACATACTAACCGTTAAAACTAGTACCGGTGAGTCGCTAGATATGGATATTTAATATGTTGTATGTAGCTAAACAAACTTCGAATAAAGTTCTGACAGTTGCGTTAATTCTATAAAAATGGTACCTGTAATTATTTCTTAAAATCAATTTAAAAACAACCGTAAATAATAAAAATGCAAACGTAAAATAAACTGAAATGAAAGAAATTTTTACTTGTTTATACATAATGTTTAAAAAAAATATATTATTATTTTTCTATCTGTCAGTTAAGATACAAAACAGCATTTAAAACAAAGGTCATAAATAGTATAATTTAAATAATATATGTAACTAACGATTCTTTTTATTTGTAATTATATCTAATAGTTTTTAATTTAAATAATTCGGAGTCATGTTGATGTGTATGTAAGTATATATATGTTATATAATAGCTGCATGTAGGTATACAATATGACCATTGCATAATACTACCAGTATAGTATTATAATGATCTGTGTTGTGTGACAATATTATGTTCCTGTGTCAACTTTTTCTCATCTTTTTACTTCGCTTTTTATGAAGTCGGTTTTTTTTATTTTTGTAATTATAATTTAGCGTTTATAAAAATGTATAATTTATCAGAAATATACAAAAAAAAAGCCAGTGGTAGCCCAATGCTGGTTGTAGGTAATGCGCTTGCTTAGGAAACCGAGTGCAGCGACTTGAAATCCCAGGTCTCGCACCTCTGATATGTTCATGTCCGAATCATTTCCAACATGATTACCACTTGTCTTAACGCTGAAGGAAAACATCGTGAGGAAACCTGCATGTCTGAGAGAACCTAGCAAGTTTTCAAAAGACATGTGAAGTCGTACTGAAGGGAGGCACGATAAAAAGGGCTAAATACTGAATAGTGAATACTGAATACAAAAAAAAAACCTAGATCTATTTTGCTCCGCTTTCCCTTTCGAGTCTAATAGACAAGTTTTATTAAATGTATGTATGTCTATATTACTATCATAAGATAAGACGGGTTTTGAATTTATTTTCCTCATCTGCACTAAGGTTTTTCCCTATTTCAATAACTTATTGGTATGTTTGAGGAAAAGTTATAAATGCGGTAAGTGTTGGGAAATACCTAATCATGTGTAGATTGACTAGATGTGTAGATTAGACTCGGATAGTACATATAGATAATTTATGTTTTTATTGACTGACTAGCGGCTCACCCTCGCTTTGCTCGGGTTCGCCTATAGACAAACAAAACAAGTGTATCCCACGGGAACTGTGCATTTTTTCGGGATAAAAATAGCCTATTTATTATTCTGATGTATGAACTATATTATTGTAAAGTTTCATCAAAATCCAATCAGTAGTTTTTGTGTACTAAGCTGTATCAGTTACTATAGTTCTTTAACTACCCCACGGGAACAATTTAATTTTTCCGGGATGAAAAGTATCTGAAATGATGACCGGGGGTATAAGGTACCACCATGCAAAATTTTAATCGGTCCAACAGTTTTGGAGATTAGCCCGTACAAACAGACAGACAGAGAAACAAAAAAAAATTGAAAAAATCTGGATTTATTCTTTTCTCTTTTTACATCCCCCTGACTCGATTTTTACGATTTTTTCTATGTACAGACATTCGACCTCTACAGATTTATTATATGTATAGATAACTATACATTGATTAATAAGTACTGATTTTTATATATTAGTTTAGAAGTATTCATGTCATATCCAGCGTCTTCTAGTTCAGAGATAAAAAAACGGTTTTCATAACAAAAGGCCAGGGAGAGTTCTAATTTGATTGAACGGGCGTCCTTCCCAGCGTCTGAAACCTATTCGGTACAAACGAACAAACAAAAAAGTCTTTCCTCTTTATACTATAAGTATAGATGAGCGATGGAATCATATCAAATGAATATTGTTAATAAATTATTTAAGTATTAGATATTAAATTAATTAGGTATTTTGAAATATTTTTATACATTATAAATATAATTTTTTTACTAAAAATTTGTGTATTTTTATTTATTTTATTTGAATATATAATTTATTGAATCATTACAACATTTTATTGAAAATTAAATTTTATCTTAACACCATCTGTACTTTGTGAATAAAATTAAATATTGTTTTATAATTTAAATCGTAAAAAAATATTTTAGAAGAGAAAACTTCTATATGCAGGTTTGGATTCCTAGTATATACCAATGTACTCTGTGGATAGCGAGTAAGTCGTCATCCAGTATATATCTATACTCTTTGGTCGTCATCGACATGGTCACGAGACGTGTTAACGCCACACTCAGAATGCCGATAGATGTCAAAACCAGATTTAAATGTAAACAGTTTTAATTTACAAATTTTAATATAAGATCAAGCAATTAATTTGAATATCCAAAAATAACAATTGTTTGTTTATAGTTTCAAGTTTTCACTTCTGTCGGCAGTCCTCATGACTGCTTTTTTTAATATTATTACTTTTCACAGAACTTTTCCTCCGTCAGATGTCGCGATCACTATGATCCTTAATATATTGTAAAGGTCTATAGTGTGGATGTTTTTTTTTTCATTTTGTTTCATCATTCATTTGTTTTATTTAAAACTAGCACAACTCGCTTACGCTAAAACAACAAAACAATCTCTAAAAAAGTAGGTTTCATACAAACTTTCATCCCCTATTTTATCCCCTTATATGATGAATATCGAAAAATGCTAAAATACATATTTTTTAATTGTATTGAAAAGCATTAATACCAAGTTTCAAGTAGTTATGATCATAAATAATTTTTGGATTATATTATAACGTGTTTTCCCGTGGGAATTAGATGATCTCCCGCGGTAAAAAGTATCCTATGCCACTCTCCAGCCCTCCAACTATCTAAATACAAAAAAATCACTTTCATATTTATAATACAATTGATTGACAAAGAAAATGGTTATCATTTGTTCCCAAAAAACAAAAAACTGAAGTAATTGCTTTAGCAGTAAGATGACCAAAATTGGCGAAATCACAATCTTTATATTTAAGGCTATGTAAATATCATTATACAGAAAGTGATATTAAAACTCTTAAATCGTCAACAGTTGGAAAAATCAAAAAATCTCTAAAAAGGTAGGTTTTATACAAACTTTCATCCCCGATTTTACCCTCTTATGGGATTGAATTTTCAAAAATACTAAAACATGTATTTATTTTATATTTATATATAGCGTTTATATACCAAGTTTCAAGTAATTCTGATCATAAATAATTCTTTGCCCATATAAACCTTTTTACCCCCCTTTTACTTAATTAAGGGGTGAATTTAAAAAATAAAATAAATATATTTCTTGTTTTTATTTAAAAGCTAAACACCACTTTCTGTCTATTTCACATTATGAATGTCAGAGTTCTGTACAATCTTTAATCGCCTATTTTACCAACTTAGTTGATGAATTTCTAAAAATCCTTTCTTATTAGATGCATCAAATTTCACGTTTATACGTCCAGCGGTTTAGGCAGTGTATTGATCTATCCACCAGGATGCAAATCTTCTCAATTCTTCCTTCAGTTGGTCTAACTTCCAGATACAATACATTGTACAGGTACGATGCGAACACAATAGAAGCAAAAACGAGGTACAAAATAGATATAATAAATTGCTTAACCTCAGACTCAGAATGTAAATAGGCGATACGTGTGGCTCCCTCCTATCGAGGAATCTTCCACATTACGTTTACCTCTAGAATAGAGAGATTCTCTCTATTATTGGTCTATGGTAACTACTGGGGTTCAAAATTTCAAATATTAATTTTATTTAGCAAAGTGACAGCAACTGGCAACCCTGTATGAGCCGGCTACCGCTACAAATTGCAAGAGACAACCAATGACGTTCAATTTACTTTCACTTGTGTTTGTGTCGTTTAGTAGTTTTCAGACAATTTTATAGGGATTTTTCTCAATTTAATATCTTTTTGTAATTCATTTATTAAGCTGTAATTATTACTTTTTGAGGATACCCATTTAATACGTACTAAAAGTAAGTAACTATTTAACAAACATCTGTCGTTCTAGCCACATTTGCAAAGTAAAAGTATTTTATATCCAGTACTTAGTGTTTCACATATTATACTATATGCTTTTACGTTTACTAGATAATTTGAATGATTTAAAGAATAGCATTTATTTCCTTTTTAAATACAAGTAATGTGTTTGTCATGCACGTGGCCTAAATTTGTTGTATTTATTGAATGTCAAAGTGACCGTTATGGCTTTTGCCGGTTGTTTAAAAAATAATTTATTCGTGAATCTAATTAATACACTACGAATAAAGAATTGAAACCTTAATTTCAAAATAACTTTTTATTGCTTTCTATATTTTAAAGAAGCTTATAATCTAAGGATATTTAACGTCTTAGCTTGATATCTTTGTATTCAAAAATTAATCTCCGATTCTGTTCTTTAAAATAAACAGTAGGTATTCATCATTCATTAATAATACATAGACATTTTAGAAACATTACTTTAGAATTGATTCTAAATATTGAGGAATGTTTATTTTCTTCAGGTTGTCTAATTTCTGTAATTTAATTTTAACAATATTCTACAGCAATAATTGTTATCATAATCAGCCTTTATTATTTACAATCTTCAGTATTTTTCCTACTGATTATATAGTCTTAATAGGTATGTTGATTATCTTTACAGTTTGAATATTCAAGATGGCAGAAGTACAAGAGGTGAGCACATCAACCCCAGAAGATCTTTTAGCTTCAGGTAGACGTCATCTTGCCGTGAGAGATTATAATGCAGCTACAGAAGCCTTAGCTAAAGCTTGCGAGCTATTAGCAAAGGCTCATGGAGATATGGCAGATGAATGTGCTGAGGCTTATTTGTGGTAATTTATATGAATTTATTTTCATTAAGCGAATTAATCTTAATTATGTGAATTTATTATTGTCATACCTTTTATGTGTTATTTGTGAACAAACACATGATGCAACCCAATAAGTTCAGTAGCAGAGCCCATTAATTGTATTTATTGTTATAAATTATACATAAATTTATGAAGGAGATAATTCTAGTTTGTTGCTTTTTTTGCCAGTTCTTCTCGGGTCTAAGGCGGTTTCTTTTCGCACTGGTGGTAGACTCATGACATTCACTAAAATTTGTAAGAATCTAATGCTGAATAAAAAATATTTTGAATATTGATTTCTTTTTGTTTTAATGAAATTTTATTGGTTTGTAAATTATTTATTTACAGGTATTATTATTATCCATGATTAATGTTTTATGTATAGAATAATAATTTTTCTATTAGATTTTAAAAATAATGTATTGTTATAGGTATGGAAAGGCTTTGTTGGGGCTATCAAGGGAAGAAAGTGGTGTTCTTGGTGAAGCTGTGCCTGGTGATAATAATGAAGATGAGGATGACAATGAAGGTAATATTGATAAGATATGAATGTTACACTCTGATTAAAAAAATATATCCATGTGTCAGAAGTTAGAATAATAAGTATAAAAAGGCCACACTTTAAAATATGTTAACTAAGATATTTTTCTTATAACATTCTTGTTACAAGAATAATGTCTGGATGTCACTTGTTGATAAAGAAAGTTACTTTTGGTGAAAGAGTTTATGATTTGACCAAATTTTATTGAAATGTACTCGATTTAGAATTCAAGGGTAGGCATTGAAAATATCATATTATGTGTAGAATGCATGTTGGAGTAATGCAATGTGTCAAATAACAGCCCATTTATGCTGTGGTTTACTCCTTTAATTGCATTGTTTATTTTCCAAAAAATAGTTAAGTTAGGTATAATAGCTTATATCCATATGATAAGAATGAATCCTTTACCTGCAAGTGTCTTTGTCTCTGCAAGTCTTTTAAAATAAATTAATTTAGTTTCTGGTCTCTGGAGTAAAAATAGTTATATAGTGATTTCATATTTTTGCCTGTTGATCACTTTTTAATAACACAGATACAAATATAGATTTTATTATAATATCGTTTTCTGACTCTCAGAGGAGAATGGCGAAAATGCAGAAGTAAAGACTGAAGAAGAAAAAGAAAATGGAGAGAAAGAAGCTCCAAAGGAAGAAGTAGAAAAGACTGAGGCAGAGTCCACAACAAAAGATGACGAGCCAGGTCCTAGTGTTGCCGAAAGTTCTGAAGAAAAACCGGTACTTATTTTTGCTTATTTTAGATACACACAGCCATTTAATTCAGCGGCACATTGGATAGTGGTTAATTGTGTACAGAAGATTAAATCAATAAATGTCAACAATATTATTATGATATTATTAGTTAAAACTTTTGGCAATCATTTGGAAAAAAAATAGAAATTATACAAAATTCTGTACATAAAATATATTTTTCGCATAAATTTTGATAAAATTGACATTTTCACTGTTATTGTCAAGGCAGACACAAAATGCTGTGAATACCGCTAATTATGAATAATTCCATCATAATTTTCCGCTATATTTAAATGACGCCAATTTAATTAGCTTGCTAATGGCTCCAAAGCGCCACTTGAGCACAGATTATTTCACCAATATCATGTAGAATAAATTATGTCTTGGCCCATGTTATCTAGTATTTATTTTAGATTATATAATTTATATTCTTGCAATTTATAATTTTAGGGAACATCGAATGGTGAAACAAATGATGCAGATGAGTCCACAGTGAATATGGATGTAGAGGATGATGTAGACAACTTACAACTTGCCTGGGAAATGCTCGGTAAATATTATTTGAGAGTTTCACTTGACATATTATGTCTTAAAATGAAAAGTATTATTCATTTGTAGCGTTTATTTGTTTATTAAATTCAATTCTGTTGTTAATGGCATAGATTACTTCACGAATATCACATAGAATCACATCACTTTGTATCTACGTGTAAGAAGGACAAACAAACACACTTTCTTAAACTCCTTTATAATATTAAGTATGGATATATACTTTTATAATATAAGGCTCCTATGTAATAAGTAATTTATTTCAGAATTATCACGCAACATACTCCAAAAGCGAGCAGAGAGCGGTGCGGAGGCAGCCAGGGCTTTGCTGGCTGATGTGCATCTGGCGCTCGGTGAAGTTGCTTTGGAAAGCGAGACATATGATAAGGCGGTAGTTGATATGGGTTTGTATTTAATATCTTTTTAATCTTGTGAACACCAAATTTTTTAACCAAACTTGATTTGTTATTGTTTATTATTTTTTTATTTTACTCTGTTATTGTATTCAGCCCTTTTTTAACGTCCCACTGTTGGGCACGGGTCTCCCTTCAATATGAGGGGATATAGTCTATTAAATATTTTAAGAGAAATAATATTAATAAAAATACAAAATTTTCTGTTGGTTTCATACAGGGTAGTACCAAGGACAATTAGTGTATATTTTTCGCATTTATTATTATCACATATGTTATCTAATATATAAATATCTCAGTTCACGTGTTTGTGGTCGCACTCCTCCAAAACGGCTCGACCGATTTTAATGATTTTTTTTGTGTATTTTGTAGGTATAAAAATAGATCGAAAAGTATTTTTCACCCTCCTACCCCTATCCCCAATTTTTTAATCGCGGTTTTAGTATTTTTCTATAAACAATATTATATAAATATAAAATACATACAACAAAGCCAAAAAAAATTTTTCTTTTTTTTTCGTTCTGCGTCTTAAAATATTTTAATGTCTTTCACAGTCAGCTGTTTGGACATCCAAAAGGAGTTATACAAGAGTGATGACAGGCGCATTGCTGAAACTCACTACCAAATTGGTACATAGTTTATTTATGCATGTTACATGTTGATAAATTATTTATTATTAGTGCTTATACTGTTTTTAAATTTATTCTTTTATTTATTTATTATTTTTCTCTTTTTGTATAGTTATAAACTATTTGCTTTAGAGAGTGATAAGCAATATTGCTGCTATTATTTTTAATGTATTTTTAAATCCTAATATTATAAATGTGAAAGTTTGTGAGAATGAATGTTTGTTAATCTTTTACACCAGAATGGCTGAACTGATCTGGATAAAATTTGGCACAAAGATATATATATATATATATATATATATATATATATATATATTCTGGAATAGCACATATGTTACTTTTTATCCTGGAAAAAATTATGATTTCCGTGGGATAGATTTCTTTTGTGATTTGTTTTGCAAAGTGAGGGGTCAGTCGCTAATTGAAAGTAGTAATAAATAATTAATTTAATAAATTTCCAGGTCTCGCCAATTCCTTAGCATCCAACTTCGAGGACGCCATAACGCACTTTAAAAATGCAGCGAATATTCTAGAATCTCGCATCAAAACCTTAGAGAATCCTATCTCTGTGGCAGAAGATCCTACCGTCAAGAAGTATACAACTGCCGACCCATACTACACCGTCGAAGGAGAATTGAAAGAACTTAAGGAACTGTTGCCGGAGATTCAAGAGAAAATACAAGACATGATGGATTATAAGACGGAGGTAAGACCCTGTGATTGTGTCGAGGCTACCAGAAATATGCTTAGAAATATGATTTTAAAAGAGAAAACACAATTCGTAGGAGTCCAGGCTTAGGTCTCTTGATATTTCTTGCATAATTATTATTATTAGAAATTCTAAGGCAGCGGTTCTCAAATTGTGGACCGCGAAACCCTAGGGTTCTGTGGAAGGGTCACAGGGGTTTCAAGTTCCATCCGAGATCTAAATAATATGTCAGATAATGAAGCCTAAATTTAGTGCTACTATAAACAAATATATGAAAAAATTTCATTCATCAAATTAAATAGTTATTTTTTGATACAATAAATTTTATTTATTCAATTCAAATTTTATTCAAGTCAAACAAGAAAGTGTTCTAATTACAACAGAATCAGTTTAATTATTATTAAAATGGGGATCCATTAAAAAAATATGATCAATTAGAGTTCCATGGTCAAAAAAATTGGGAACCGCTGTACTAAACATCTGCCAATAAGTTGATTAGTAACAATGCTCAATATTTCTTCATTTAGTTTTAGATTTAATAAGTATTGCATGTATTGAGACTTGGATAATAGACTCTCAATGTTTAAAACTTGAGCCTGAGGGTTGCTTGGTTAAATTTACATGTGAAAATGGACTTATTTTTAGTCTGTTTCAAATTACAAAATATAACTAGTTAACAAAGTAAAGTAGATATAACACAATATAATAAAATAAGTTTTGTATGTCATATTCTATATAATTCGTTTTTCATTACAGTTTATGCCAAAGCAACCCTAATGGAGAAGTTTCAATTTTTTTTTAAATATATAAATTATAAAAACATAAGTAAAATATAACTAAAATAAGAAAGAATTATTAAAATATCTCAATAGATGAAAAAGTTATGAAAATTTAAAGTTGCGCTTGTAAAAATAATTTCGTGACGTCACACGACCTAGACAACCATAAATTAATTTCTCAGTCATTTATTGATAGATTTAAAAAAAACACTGATTTATAAGTTTTGAGCTATATTATAATTACATTGTGTCGAATATGATATTAAAAACATCATGAAACTTCTCCATTATAGTAGTATTTTTTCACATAATTTGCAAAACTTTCAAATAAAATGCCTTTAAATATGCCGTCTAGAGAGCCATTTCATTTATATAAGTAGCATAGGGTCGCACTTCTAGTATATACTATATTAAATTAGTTTCTAGATTCGAAATTAAAATTAAAATGATACACCAACTTCAAAATCACAGTGTTTTTACTTTTTTTTTTACTTTGAGGATGGATTTTAGTTCTAAAATTGTCTAAGCCTTTAATACCTTTAATAGTCTATGCCTTCTACACAACCAAAAATTAAAAAAAAAATCTATAGAATCTGTTCAGTATTATGGAATAGAATAAACAAAAAAAAGCATAACTTAATATAGTAGTACCTTTAACGAAGTCCGTCAAAAATGCCAAATATGACATTTTATTGTGATAACATTTGGACTGTCTTTATCAGTATTGATTTGATATTATGCAGATTTTTATCAATACATGTGGTTTGATAAATTAATTGGATTTATATGATAATATCTAGATTTTTTTGGAGTCACAGAATGTAAATAAAAGTGTAGTGCATTGAACTATGAACCATTAGATTCCATAAAATGGGAATTTTACGTTGTTGTGGAAGTTGACACATTTTCATATTATTCTTCAATTCAATTTTCTTATTAATGGCTTCAAAACTTGCCAGTTGAGCACAGATTACTTCGCCAATGTCATATAGAATGGAGAAGACAGGAAGGAAATTGTTCGATATTATTATTGAATTTTTCTCCCATAATTTTCTGTTATATACCTTTAGTAAAATGAACAGTCTTACCTTGTTATGGGCATTGTTTAAAAATCTGCATAATATTTATTTTTCTTTTTAGACATAAGTGCCTTAGAATCTCGACTTGCATTTACGTTAGTATAAGTACATTGTATTGTTAGTAGATAAGCGTTTTTACCACAAGGCCATTTTTGTATCGCTTTACACGATTTTCAAATAAAATGTATCAAACTTACATATACTGTGTGTTATTTCACTGCCCTGTATTTGTACATTAATGGCCATGTGGTAGATATGTTTTGTATTAATGGCCATTGATGTTAGACACCCTGTATCCCATTTTTTATCGACTTTTTTTAAAAAGGAGGAGGTTCTCAGTTTAGCTGTATTTTTTTTTATATCATTAATATTATAAATTTGAATGTTTGGATGGATGGATGTTTGTTACTCACGGCTGAACGGATCTACATGATATTTGGCACAGAGATAGATTATAGTCTGGAATAGCACATAGGTTACGTTTAATTCCGGAAAAATGTACGGTTCCCGTGGCATAGATTTGATTTTGTTTTTTACTATCGCTAGTAAATTATAATATGTCTAGTATTAGGGTTCTGTATACATAATTTACTTTATTTTTCTATGGTTGATAATTTGACAAATTTATGGCCTGTTAAATACAAGCGGAGTCGCTATTTTATAAATTATTTGTAGAAATAGCAGTTTCTAACATTGTCTTCAAAATCATCTTTGAAAGTAATTGTTGCATTATTTATATTGTAAAGTGTTCACTTTCAAGGTACAGCCTATTTATTAAAATCGGTTCATTCGTTTTATAAACTGTCAAATGTGATTAAAAGAATAATTAATTTTATTAAAAAAATTACTTCAATTATAATAGGTGTTAATCTAAAAAAAAACAAACGTGTGTCTGTACTTATGTATGTATGTATGTAAGGAGTTATACTTCTTTGGTACAACAGAAGAAAAATAGCTAAAGATTTCATCCCGTATGTCACAACTTTCTACAAACAAACAATTTTTTTACAAACATGCCAAAGGAAGTATAACTGCGGTACAGCCCAATTGAGAACCTCATCATCCGTTTTGAAGAATTTTGTTGAGAACAGGCCAAACACATAGAGCTAAATCTGCATCCGACTGGCATTTGATTAGAAATAACAATTAACAAATCGCCTCTGTGCTTATTTGTCCAAACGACCAATTTACTGAAAGAGATTTTATTACAATTATTGGCTTTTAAATGTAAATTCTATTAGTATAATATACTCATTTTACTTTTAAAAAGTTGAAAAGATTTTTTTTATAAGTAGGTACCTACCTACCTATATAAATCTTAGAAATAAAGCTTTGTTTTTAAAATGAGGAAAAAACTACTGTAAAGTCAACAAGTATTGGTAGTTTGAACAAATAAGTACTAAGGCGATGAAATAATAACTATTTTTTTTTATAAAACGAAACAAATGAGCCCAAACTCGAAGTTTTAATAATAGAAATTAACTTACGATCAATTAGATAGTATCAAAGATACCTAAAGATTTATTTGAATTTCACATACATATAGTCTATACGACAAATAAATAATACTTAATAGGGAATATGCGTGATTTTTTTATTTATATATTAATAGCTTACATCGTTATGTAATTTAAATATATATGTTAAATATATATGTTAAATAGATGCTTTAAACACCCGCCATTTCGCGCGCTTATCGTGATGTCACAGTATGATATACACACAAAAGTGACTCAATTTGTAGCGACAAAATCGCTAATCGTTATGATATAATATGACGTTATATTCGGTCTGACCAATGTCGTTTGTTTCAACTACTTTGGATTTCGTACCTATATGTGCACTATTTAATAATTATTTTCTTAATAAAAAAAATACATTACAAAATATCTCACCTTTATTTAAATCACACGCATATTCCCTATTATAAGTTGGTTAAATCAACTCTAAGATTTGATTATGTACTATATATATAGGTAATAGGTAGTTATGAAGTGAAATTAATAAATCGTGTGACAAATTAAATCAAAGTCAATCAGATGTAATTATATATAAATATAAATATGTCAGAACATTAACACACAACACCATCTAGTTCCATGGTAAGCTACAAGGCTTGTGTTATGGATACCAGATAGTTGATACATTATACATATATAACTTTTAAATACATACATATTATAAATATAAACACCCATGACTGGAGTACAAATATTCGTGCTCATCACACAAATGAATGCCCCCAGCGAGACTCGAACCCGTGACCGCTGGCGCAGCAAGTAGGGTCACAAACTAAGCCAAACGTGTCGTTAAAGGTTTTTAGAACCAGACATACATATTATATGTATGTTTGTACCAGATTTGTTTACGGTGAATGGTAATAACAGGTATTCGGGTAGTTGAATATATTAATAGCAATTTTTTATTGTACATATATTATGCACCTAAAACTAAGTTTCTTTTCAGTAGGTCGACTATGATCTACGAATTTCAGTACCTATACACATGATATTTGGTTTTTCCATAAGATGAGTATTACTTATAATTGATTAATGTGGAACCAAGAAATGTTGACATTTTAAAGTTTAATGAGTGAGTGAATTAGTGACCCTTTTATAAATAGATATACAAGCCTGACAATTAATAAAATAAAGTTATTTTTAAATTTATTCTTCCAGATGATAAAAAGGGTGCGTGAAACCCTCTGCCCTTCAAACGGCGAAGGTTCACAAGCTACGTCCAGTACAACGAAAACCGAATCTAAACCAGCTGCCGACATATCGCATCTGATCAGAAGGAAGAGAAAGAACAGTGATGAAGAGGCCCCGGCATCGAAGAGGGTTAACACGTGAATGTGAGTATAGAAAGTACAGTATAGAAATCCATACAGTTGCCGTTTGTCCATTTATTTTAAAGTAAATTGCTTACAAATGCAAGGGTTGTCAACAATACCAATTTTAAAGGCGAATCGGTTTCGATATCAAAGCTGAAATTACTCCTTGCTTTCCAATTATAGAGCATAACGCCGTACTTTGGAACACGAAAAACTCGAAAAAACACTTCTTATATTTTCTGCTACTGAGTGTTTTGGTCACGCCAAACCAATACTTTTAAGTGCTCGATTGCGCTGAGCATTGCTGTAGTTGAAAAAATCGAAGTTGAGCATTATACCTCATATTGCGCTTTAATTGTAATTGGAAAGCAGGGACTGTAGTGCCATCTTTCGACCAACTACGGTTATAACTGTCAACCCTAAAGCCGTTTCCCGACTGGTGTATTAAAGTATGTATGAGAGTCGGGTGCGCCTCACCCAGCATGATTGACCTGTATAGACGCCTTAATTAGACGACTGTATGGATTAGTAGACTGTGACATAAGGCTAATTTCGCGTAACTCACAAACTGTCAAGCTTTTTTTTTTAAAAACCACGTTTTTATAACAATTTCTAATATATGGTTTATGTAATAATGAACTATTTGATTTGACCCTATTGGAGGATATGTCAAGTTAAATATCAAACATGTTGTATTTTCTTTTATTTACTTAATTGTCGTAATCATAGACATAATACAAATAGAGTAGGCAACTGCCATTCAGCACTGTAAGTGGCGGTGAGCCGTGGAGAAAAAAAGGATAGAAATATCTGCCTAGTTTCTATCTTTGTTTCATGACGCTTACGCATTAGTAGACTTTATAAGACTTAAATTAAAAGAAATGCTCAATAATTAACGAAGAATATTTTTTTTCTAAAAAAATATCTTAATTTTTGTAATAAATTAAAATTATTTTTTTATGAAATTAAATGTTATTTAGTTTTTTATACATTTAATATAACTTAATCAAGTATATTAAATGTATTATCACGCACAATTCTTATTGCCCACTAAAAATGGTTAAATTATTATAGTACAATTTATTTCTCTAAAAATTATATTAAAAAGAATTAAAAATGAAAGGAGATAGAAATGGGTCTGTTATTCTATGTCTCTTTCTATCGGAACATCACATATTTTTTGATTGGCTTGCCAATTCTATGTGTATTATCTCCATGGTCGTTTGAACTGACTGATTTTAATTGTTTTACGTCAACGTGTTATAAATATCAGTAATAATAAGAATATAAATAATTTTTCGCATAAATTATAATAAGTTGACTCGGTCATATTTTTTTTATATATATATGAAACGTGATTATAATACTTTCTTGATTTATTACGCGAATATTTGTCATTTTGAATAAAACTATCTTTTCGGATTTTTTTCGCCGAGTTATTTAGATTTTTGGTTAACGAAGTTTCAAATGATTTGCAACGCAAAAAAATCATGGTCACGGGAGTGTCTCGAGAGAAAAGATAGTATTAGTATAATATCTATAAAATTACTATTTTAAAGTTAAACTTAAAATTTGTACTTTTTGATACAATAGAATATTATTTATTAAAACGTCTTCTTGTATGAAATATAGTATTATTCCCGTATGAGGTCATTCAAGTATTACGTAAGCAGAATTTTTGTAATCATTAACCCCTCCCTCGATGATGACCTTGTCGGTAAAAATAAGCAAAGCTCTTACTATCCCCTCCTGTGCTTACGTATTAATTACATCTCAATTATTTTGGAGAATCCCTGAACATGCTTTTCGCGTTTGGGTATAGAAAAATGGGGTTGTCATGTGTTTACTGAATGTGAACACATTAATTTGACAAATTAAAATCTAGTAAATTTAAATTACTTATTTAAGTAAATAAATATTGCTGACGTAATCACCATCCACACCCCCACGTCCCCCATGTCATCAAAAATATGCAAAGCGAAAATCCCCCGCTCCCATTTTGGTGCTTACGTAATAATAGAATGGCCCCATAAAGGGATAAAGAAAAATCTCTTGTACCTAATATATTTTTTAATTTATTGTGTTTCATTACATTCTTCCTAAACTTGATAGTGAATCTGTATACTGTTTTATTTAAGAAGACAAAATCATTTAGTATTAACAGTTTTAAACGCTTTGTTTTGTGTAACTTTACACTATCAGTCCCAAATAAAATAAAAGCTGAATTGGTTTTGATAGTATTTTTCATTTTAAAAATAGACTTAGTTTGTATTGCTTCTTCATTTGTGCAGAATTAAGAATGGCTTATGCCAAATACATAACGTTATATATACATGGATATGGCCGTCAAATAACGAGTAAATAAACAATATAACGATTGTGGCCTAATATGAGACTTCAACAATTTCCCTTATATCCGCTAATAATACTATTAAAAATATAAGGTTATATCCATGTATTTATGTCGATCGGTTTAATTTTAATATAGAAGTCTGAAGAAAAATATAAAGCAAAATAATCTTTTGTAAACTCGTCAAATAAAATGATTAATTAAGTAATTGGTAGATTAATTATTTATAATTAAATGTAATCATAGGCTAATACTAAAGTAAGGAATTGATTTTACAGAAATATTTTGTTTAATTAAATAACCATTTATTTGGTAAAAAGTGTTTTATTTTGCCGTTCACCTATTTTATACGATTATTGTATTATTTTATTTTGACGACACGTTTGGCTCAGTTTGTAGTGCACTTGCTGTGCCGGTTGCGGGTTCGAGTCCCACTGGGGGCATTCATTTGTGTGATGAGCACGAATAATTGTACTCCAGTCATGGGTGTTTATACTTATAATGTGTACTAGCGACTCAGCCTCCACCTACTTACGTCTTAACGTATAGTATAGATTTCTAAGAGATGAGATATTTTTCTGCAGTAAAAATTATCTTACATGTAGAGCCGGATAACCAGATAATTCGTCATAGCAAATTTCATCAAAATCCCTCTAGTAATTTTTCGCGATACGGTCACAGACAGACAAAAATTCTAAAAACTATAGATTCGGCCTTTGTATCGATAATAAATAATAATGTCTATTTCAATAAGATTTTCCAAAAAATATGTACAGATTCGATTCAGTTTGGCTATTTGATTTAAAAACTTGCATTTTTAAAAAGGAATTATTGAAGGCAAATACTATAACTGAGAGTTACTGTTATAGAAAAAGATACAAGCTTCTTTCAAGCCTAATTTCTTACATCAATTGGATAAGTAATAAAAAAATCTGGAATGTAAACCAATGAGGTGTTAAAAATTAGATTGTTTAAAAATGAAAATCAAATATGTTTATCTATTATTAAATATAGAGGGAGGGTCTATTTATTATTGACAACTAGGGAACTCTGTAACGCATTACAAAGTAATACTATTAGAGGTTTTGTCTATGATAAAAAAACCTGTAAATCTATCGTCGTTGTCGTTGATAAGCAACATTTATAATAAACTTGTTTTAGCCTAAGACTTCGTTATTTATATGTGGATAAAAATTGTCTGTATCCAAAATATAAGCTATTTTTAATCACAAGTATCATCCATGCTTGTAATATTAGTGTTAAGTGTACCTACTTAATTTGTATAAGTTAAACATTTTCCAAAAAAATTGTATAGTGGAACTTTAATTACAATTTACACGTAAAGATCATCTAGGTATTCTACTAATTAAAATAATGACATGATTTTATTTTAATTCATTTCATTTATTTGAGAAGTTAATTACAAATAATATTTTTTATTACAAACATACATTTAAGTACGTTTTTCATATATTTTTTTAATATCAGAGTTAAAAAATAAGTCAAATTAAATTATAAAATGAAATAATAATAACTTAAATTTTAACAACGGCGTTACCAGTATTCTCTTCTGCTAACATACCGGTAAATGCATCAAAGAGCTTATCAAAACCTTCAGTCACATGTTCTGGAGCTTTCAACTGACCGTTTTTGATCCACGCTACTAGTTGTTCAAATGCTTCCGAAAAACGGTCCACCCAACGCCATACCAAGAATCCTTCCATCTTTAACTCCTTGAAAACTAAAAATGGTTGCAATATTGTCGCTTTCGGCATTTTAGATGGGTCAGCATTATAAGAGCTGATGCTACCAGAGACCGATACTCTGCCTCGTGGATTCATTTGCCCAATAATAATACTGCTAAGTTCTCCCCCAACGTTGTCAAAGTAACAGTCTACACCATTTGGAGCGGCTGCTTTTAGGGCAGTTTGTGCATCCTCGGTCTTATAATTGATAGCCTTGTCAAATCCTAACTCTTTTTCCAGCCATTGCACTTTTTTATCTGATCCCGTAAAACCGATGACTTTACAGCCTTTTATTTTGGCGATCTGTCCTACAAGACTTCCTACAGCCCCGGCAGCACCGGTAACGACCACTGTGTCACCAGCTTTAGGCTGGCAGATTTCAAGGAACCCAAAATAAGCAGTTGCCCCTGGCATTCCTACGGCCCCAACTGCTAAAGACTCTGGTAATCCCTGTAAATCTGGTAGTTTAGTTATTTTCGGCACCTTAATCTTCTCATCTGTACCATTTTTTACTATTGAGTAGTCACACCAGCCACTGTGAGTGACTACTTTAGTTCCCACTGGAAAATTTGGGTCCTTAGTTTGTTTGACAACAGCAACTTGGACACCGAACTGGTCGTATGGCAGCTTTTGAAGTGAATTATACGGTCTCAAATATGGGTCCACGCTAACCCATTCTGTCTTCAGTAATATATCCCCGTTCTCTAGATTTGGTAGATCGATTTCTACTAATTCATAGTCAGATCGTTTAGGAGGACCATTGAAGTAGTTCTTAACGACATATTTACGTGCTTTTATACCGGCCCATGACTCTGTCGAGGCCAGTAGGGCCAACAGAACTAGACATTCAAAAAACAGAAAAGCTTTCACCATGTTGACTGTGTTCTTGTAGTACTAGCACTGAAAATTATAATTGATAAT